ATTATAATTGTGGCCGATTCTCGAGTTGGGATGGATTTATTAGCATCGAGTTTTGTTGGTGTGTAGAATTTAAAATGGTTTTTATAACTCTTCAATTTACCACCTTCGTGTTTATTCTACCTCATCCGGATTTAATTAGGTGTTTACTCTAGTGAAGATGATGCTTTTAGATTTTTACAAATCCAATAGTGGTGAGAGAGAGTTATGATGATGATGGATGATTCCAGTCTGAGTTCATTAAGCATTTTGTTTCCAGGTGCTTGGGTTCTCATTGAGAATCTTGTGGGGTTTCAATTAGAAATTGTTAGTACTTTCAAATCCAGCGGTCGAAGATTTATATATTATGGTTTTCGTTGAACATGTGGAGTGGTATTTGATAATCCATATTTATAAGTTTGGGTTTTCTATTTTGTATTTAAGATTGATTTTGATTTTGGTATTTTATATTTTGGTATTTGACCTTGAAATCAAGTCTCTCAAGAATGCGGGGATTGAAATTAGCCCTTTTATTTTTTTAAATTAAATTAATGTTGCCAACGTTTTTGGTAAAGACTTCGATAAAACTGTAGATATATCAACGTTGGCAGAATAGTTGATCTGCCAACGTTAAAGGTTGGTATAATAGTAGATATATCAACGCTTTTCAAAACATTAGCATAATAGAACATATGCCAACGTATGGAAAAACGTTGGCAAAATAATAGATTTGCCAACATTTTGAAAAACGTTGGTAGATGGAAACTTTTACCAACATTTCGAAAAACGTGGGCAGATGGAAACTTTTGCCAACATTTTGAAAAACGTGGGCAGATGGAAACTTCTGCCAACGTTTTCATAACTTCGGCAACTCTGCCAACGTTTTTGTAAAATGTTGGCAGAAGTTTCCATCTGCCAACGTTTCTGCCGACGTTTAGGAAATGTTGGTAGAAAGTCAGCTCTACAACATTTTTTGAAGGTCGGCAAAAGTATTGTTTTGCCAACGTTTTTTGCTTTTCCAACGCACTTTTGTCGACTTTTTTGCCGATGAATATTTATCACTGGGAGAAACTACTCCCAACGTTTTATAGCGTTGGTAAAAATTAAATTCTTGTAGTGAGCGATTGTGCCTTCAATTTTTAATTAGTAACTAGAATTGTTGATTCTTCTCCGTCCTTCAATTTTGTGATTTTAATGACATTAATTGATGAATTTTGCAGCATTGGTCCAAAGATAAGAAGTACAGTATGAGGTGAAAAATGAAGAAAGAGCCTCCTGCTTTATAGTTCAAATAGTTTTTCTTTTTCCTCTTTTCACAACAAAAATTTGAGCTTTCCGTACCATCATTACTAAGTTCTTTTTAGTATGTCGAGAATGAATGATCTTTTGCTGCTTTATTATAGATGTTAGTGAAAAACTTCCAAGCAATTAAAAACTATCATACAATGCAATTTGAGAAATTTGCTAAAGTGCAGAATAGAAAGTAAATGACAATTGAAATGTAGCAGTAGAAAATCTATGAGTTTAGATATTCTGAGCCATGGAATGAAAATTAATACTTATCTATGGTCATGAACAACTGGAAAGTCATCATTTGGTGTTTTTTGGGAGGGGTTCTCTTTACCCAGCCCTAGGCTGTTTCTGGCCCTTTTGTTTATAATATATCAGTTTTTTATAAAAAAAATGGAAAATTGATGCTTGCTTTGAATACATGTTGTTTTGTTGGTAAAACGAGTTTATTGAAATGAGATCTATTGTACTGAAACTTAAGAAGACGTGTTTAGCAAAAGAGATTCAAATTTGTATGAGGTGGATGTAACTTCAGGTTAAGCAAATCTTTAGGTGAAGCTTAGAATGATTTTTTTTTTTTCTTTCTTCTTTTTTCCTCAATTTCCATTCTTTTATTTGTTATTGTTTTGCTGAATTTGAATGTTATTTACCTAACATGTTTTAATTTTCTCCATCAATTTTACTTCTTGCTATTTTGATCACTGATGGGAAAAGGAATTCTCAATGGCGTAAAAATATGCAACTTTTGGCACCAAATCTTCTATTAGTTTCCAATCTCTTCTGTTTGTTTTTTGAGTTCTACAAGAGTGTCAAATATTTTATTATCATTGACTTTGGCCATAATTGTTCTTATCATTGTTTTTATGTGCTTTGTACTCGATGGAGTTAATTTGACTGCAGTTATTAGCAACTACTATTAATCTTCTAACTTATTTCCATTCTTTATTTTAACTTATCCGTAGGCCTCAGTTGCTGGATATGACATACAAAGAGTGGCTGATCATGCTAATAATCTTGCCTATAAATTCGTAGTAACTTGACCAACTCAATGAAAGCCCTTGGAGTAAGCATATACTGACAGGTGTTCGATACAATCTTTGTAAGTTTCACTTGCTCATGAAAGGAAAATTAATTTCTTTGGTTGTTTTAAATGAATTGATAGTAGCCATTATTTCTCATATCACTGGTCAAGTTGTAAAATCTTGATATAAAAATTTTTGGTTCTTGAGTCTTGACCACTTGACCCGTTCCTTAAAATTTGTTATCTTGAACTTTGAATATAACTTCGTGCGAATTTTGGCCATCAAGGTCTTCTAATTAATTCCTTCTTATAATCTTGCTAGTGATTTTTTTCCATGATTGTCCATTCCCCTAGTATCTCTCATGTCATTTATTGAAGTACTTCTAATTTTGGACAGTATCATATAGAAATGAAATGAGAAATCGATTATCTTAGTGTCGTTTTTCTCCATGAAAGTGGGAGAATAGGAATGGCCGGATGGGAGAATAGTGAATTTTTCTCAATGCAATTAGGCATTTAGCGCTCTAACAGTTATGGCTGAAATACATACTTCAGAAGTAGTCGTTAAACAAGAATTTATACGTCTCTCGATCATGTTTACATTGGGAATCACTATTCTGATCACATGATGACATCATTAAGAATGTGCTCAAACTATGTTTTAAGAGTAGTTTTTCCTACCTTTTTTTTCAATAAGAAACAAGGGAGACTTTTATTCAAAGAGCCCAAAAAAAGGTGAAATACAACCTAGTGGACCTCGGGACAAGGTGTTTTTGTTTTGAAGGAGGATTACAAGCCTTCCAATCTAATCCAATAGTACAAGTCGAGTAATTACAAAAAATCTTGTTTGAGCACTCCAGTTCAAGGCTATAAACTGTACAAGATCGAAAAAGTATTCAAAATAGTTAGAACTTATTTTGTATACTCTTTAGGTTTGATTTTGTTGCTGATTGAAGCTCATTCTTTGAGCTGTTTTTTTTTTTTTGCTATTTTTTTTCATTCATCTCAATAGAAGCTCAGTTTTCATAATAAAAAAAAACCCCTTTACCATTTGTAACTGCTGAAAGCAAGGAAAGTCGCTCGAAAGTTGCTCTGCTGCTTTCATAATACCGTGAATTTCTTGAAATATTGTACACATTGCACCCAACTGCAGAATTGGTTCATGATCCTTTATTCTGTATTTTATGTAGGTATAATTATTCTGGCTATGGACAATCAAGTGGAAAGGTAAGGTGTCGTTTCTCCCTTCGTTCCAGTTTGTAAATTTATTTTAGTATTGTCAACCAAATATCTATTTATTTCGGATGTTCCTTTCTAAGGAAGTAACAAGTAATTAGTTAATGTCATGATGTATTTGTGCTTTGATATTTATAATTATTTAGATTCATTTTTCATGTTTTGGTGCTAGCTTATTTTAGGACTATTATCTAAGCCTACTTCCTTGAATGAGTTGCTGAAAAATGCAGAGAGCTTATCGGAGAACCATTTCTCTCCTCAACGAGAAATGTTCTGCATTGCTTTTCGCGAAAGCAAACAGCCCATTAATCTTCTTTCTCAGAAAACCGCATTTGTCTGTGTCTCTAATATGTTATCAGACGAATCCCAATGGTAGAATGGAATTCGGAGGATTTGGGCCTGTTTGCGTGAGAACGATTCCACATGACTCCACGGATGACAAAGACGCCGATGAATTTTCTGCCGACGTCGAAAAGGTGTACAGGATTCTGAGGAAATTCCACACCAGGGTTCCTAAATTGGAGCTTGCTTTGCAGGAGTCCGGTGTCATTTTACGCTCGGGTCTACCAGAACGAGTTTTAAACCGGTGTGGCGATGCCGGGAACTTGGGTTACAGGTTCTTTGTCTGGTGTTCGAAGCAACCGGGTTATAGGCATAGTTATGAAGTGTACAAAGCCATGATTAAAACTCTGGGGAAGATGAGACAATTTGGAGCCGTTTGGGCATTGATTGAGGAAATGAGAAATGAGAATCCGTACATGTTAACCCCCGAAGTGTTCATTGTTTTGATGAGGAGGTTCGCTTCCGCAAGAATGGTAAAAAAAGCAGTCGAGGTGCTTGATGAAATGCCAAAGTATGGGTGCGAACCTGATGAATACGTATTTGGGTGTCTTCTTGATGCTTTGTGCAAGAATGGTAGTGTTAAAGAAGCAGCTTCGCTATTTGAGGATATGAGAATTCGGTTTAATCCACATCTCAAACATTTCACTTCATTGTTGTATGGTTGGTGCAGAGAAGGCAAGATTTTGGAGGCGAAGTACGTGTTGGTGCAGATAAAGGAAGCAGGTTTTGAGCCCGATATTGTGGTTTACAATATTTTACTCGGTGGGTATGCTCAAGCAGGGAAAATGCGGGATGCTTTTGATCTTTTGGAGGAGATGAGGAGAGTGAATTGTGGGCCAAATGCGGCTTCTTATACAATTTTGATTCAGGCTTTTTGTAAACTAGAAAAGATGGATGAAGCAATGCGTATGTTTATCGAGATGCAAGGGAGTGGATGTGAGGCAGACGTTGTGACTTATACAACTCTCATAAGTGGGTTTTGCAAGTTGGGAAACACAGACAGGGCTTATGAAATCTTGGATGATATGATTCGGAAAGGCCATGATCCTAGTCAGTTGACTTATTTGTGTATAATGATGGCGCATGAAAAGAAGGAAGAGCTGGAAGACTGTATGGAACTTATGGAAGAAATGAGGAAGATCGGTTGCTTCCCAGACCTTAACATCTATAACACAGTGATAAGGTTAGTCTGGAAGTTGGGGGAGCTTAAGGAAGCTGTTCGACTTTGGGACGAAATGGAAGCAGGTGGGCTTAATGCAGGTCTTGACACATATATCGTGATGATTCATGGGTTTCTTAGTCAAGGTTGTCTAATTGAAGCTTGTGATTACTTCAAAGAAATGGTTGAAAGAGGTCTTTTATCTGCTCCACAGTATGGTACGTTGAAGGAGTTAACAAATGCTCTATTGAGAGCTCAAAAGCTTGAAGTGGCAAAAAACATGTGGAGTTGCATAACAACTAAAGGATGTGAGCTTAATGTCAATGCTTGGACAATCTGGATTCATGCACTTTTCTCGAATGGGAATGTGAAGGAAGCTTGTTCATACTGCTTGGACATGATGGAGGCAGACCTCATGCCACAGCCAGATACTTTTGCCAAGCTAATGCGCGGGCTAAATAAACTTTACAACAGACAACTAGCTGTAGAGATCACAGAGAAGGTGAGGAAGATGGCTGCAGATAGACAGATCACTTTCAAGATGTACAAGAGACGGGGGGAGAGAGATTTAAAAGAGAAGATCAAGGCTAAAGTAGATGGAAGGAAAAGGAGGGCCCGTAGATGCCGTTGGAGCGGAGTGCGGAAGAAAACTAAAGCTTTGTAATTTAGGAGCCCTTGTCTTGAAGAATGATTCATTTTGCAGTCTTTTAGACTTTCCATAGCGTTTTTCTAAACGTGTTGGTAGACGATGTTATTGAAAGCCTTTGACTTTTAATAGCGTTTTTTAATGCTATGCTAAATGATATAAAAAATTATTTTTTATTGCATAATTTCGATGTTATAAAAACCTTTTATAGCTTTATACAAAATGTTATTGTAAACATTTTATAGCATTAAAATAATGCTATAAAAATAATTTTATAACATTAAAAAAGGTTATAAAATCATTTTAATAACATTTTTTATAGCATCTAATAAATATTGTAATAGACTTTCCATAGCATTTTTTCCAATGCCGTGTTAGTCGATGTTATGGAAAATCTTGGATATTTTATAGCATTTTTTGTAAAGCTATGCTAAAAGCTACAAAAAAAAAAGCCATATTAAAATCCATAATTGTATTGTTATAAAAACATTTCTTAGATTGAAAAAATGTTATTGTCAACAACTAATAGCATTTACAATATGTTAAAAACCTTTTCATAATTTATAAAATACAAAACTAAGCTTTTATTTTTACCATTAATCAACCGTAGTGATGAATATATAAATTTTTTTGCAAAATCTTGCCCGACATTAATTTCATTCACCAAAAAAATATACCAAGAGTAAAGTTTTTCTCATAAGTTGTTCATTGAAAAAAAAAAGTACTGAAGTATACAAAATTTAATAAGTAATTGGCAAAAATACAAAATTCTCCTAAATTAAAGCAATACAGAGCACACAAAATATAATGGTGAAGTGACTTGTTGTCTCCATCCACATTCGTAAAGCCATTTGATCCACCTACGAAACAATATATTTGAAAATTTTGTCAAAATGAATGTTACAAATTCAAAGTCTTCTAACGACTACTGTGAAACTTTATACCAAAATTTATTTGCTAAAAGTAAGAAAAGAACTCAAAATTCATATACTCAACACAATAAAGTAAAAGAAGCTCCTCGAACTTGAGATTATTCGAACAATTAGCTATAGCAAGTAAAATTCTAATGTTATAACTCTCAAAGCTGGGCACAAAATAGCGCACAATAAACCATTGAATAAGTTGATTAGAGGTTTAACTATACATACCAACCTTCTTTTTATGCAAAAAAAAAAAAAAAAGAGAGAGAGAGAACTTATGGGACTTGACGAGCCACCAAGCCTTACAATAGTAATTGACATGTTAGAGGGAGCAACACCATAACACTTGAAAGTAGAGACTTTAGCTAGTTATACTCTACCTAATATTTAAAAGAGGTCAAGAGAGATCAGCAAATAATGTGTAAAAACATTGAATCTCATTTCCTTGACAGCAACAATTGAAGGTCACTAATATACATCACACGTCAATGATTTCTGGCCACATTTCCATGAGAGGATTTTACATTTTTTCCATCAAACTTTTACCATATTGATCATTGTAAACAGTACCAATTTTGGCCAACGGCTACTATAGTTGGTATAGGACAGCAATAGCCAACGACATTTTGTATCAGAATATTGGTCTTGTTGGTAAAAGAATCTATCAAATAGTTTTCTAAAGAAAATAGCAGACAAGTTTTTAACATGCAACTTTCACCACTTCCTTTTAAAGGGTTAATAAAGATCCTTAATACACTTGTAAAAACTAAATCTACTTGAAGATCAACTATCAAAAATAATTTCTATAGCTGAAAAACTAATCAACTTTCATAGCATCCGAAGGTAGGAAGAACATCAAAGAAGTAAACGCAAGGGACTAAGTTAACATAAGTCCATCAAAACAGAATTTCACTAAAGGATTAATGTGGAATAGAATGGTAAAGATCGTACAACTTACCTGGTTAACTTTGTTTTCAGCTACAATTTTTATGCACTCATAGTTGGTTAAATACAGCTCCACTTCATTTGGCCATACATTTCGAAGTGTAAATGTCTCCCGTCATGTAACATCGTACCCTATTGGCAAAACATAAATCGGTATAAAAAACATGCCATATTTGATATATTAAATTGTGAAACAAGAAAAAAAAACATGCCATGAGAGTCTGTTTCCAAAATGAAAGGGAAATACTTACAAAAGTGCCATGAGAGTCTATTTCCAAAAAACATACCATTATATACTTGCAAAAATGCAGGAGATAAACAAGACACAATTTTTTACTCCAAAGCTGCAAATGGTTTTGGCACATAAGAAAATAAATGAGAAAAAAAGCTACAAAAATGTTCTTGAAATGGCAGAAAAACAACAAAATTTTCAAGTGTAGATTTTGTTTTCAATACAACTTAAAATTACTGGCAATCAAACTGTTCAACTTCTATAGACTTTATAAAACAACAGAAGATAAAGGATGGAGGGGGAAGTGAATGCTCAATACTAATTGACTAGTACTTTCTTTCTTGCAGCCTTCATCTCTTTCATCCTTCTATTATCTAAGTTTTTTATCATTTTTTTTTTTTGTATTGAGTTACTGTTCTTGATCATTGTTGTCTTAATTACTAAGCGAAAAGTCTCCATATACTCTCAATTACTGAATTTTTCATTTTATATCCCTTGACAGTCTAACTTCGAAAAATTACAAAATCCATGAAAGAAAATTAAAATGAAACAGCAACTCAGGTAAGCTTAACAACATTTCTAGAGGATAATAAAGAAAACCCGTTACATATGAAAAGAGTTCAATTTCTAACCATCACTCATGAACATTAAAATTTAGCTTATCAAGATTTCTATATGATAAAATTACCACTGCTCCGTTCAATCTCTAACAATCAACTAATGAACATTAAAGAGTCTTGCTTGGAACTTATGCATGAAGAATGACAGCATCAAATCAAACCATATCATCTTATTGAAGTTTCCGACCATTAAATGGAAACAAAAAACATAAAAAAACTATGAGTTTGGGAAGAACGGAAGGGCAAGTCTTCTTACAAACAAAGTCATAGGGGGATAGATTTCTACCAAAGAATGAAGGGGAAATAGTGTTAAAGAGTCTACTAAAAGGAAGCTCGCCCTCAAGATCATTGTGAGAAATATTGAACACGAGAAGGATTGGAAGAATATTAGATAACGATTTTGGAAGGCTTCTGTTGAGGTTGTTAAAGAATAAGTCGACATTTTGAAGATAAGAGAGTTTTCCTAACCCCATCGATATTGGGCATATTGAAGTTATTGTGTAATATCAACCTGTCAAGTTTTGACAAAGATTATAAATGTAACAAAGATGTTGGACAAAGTTAAAACATATTGCTTTAAGAAAGTTCCAGATTTTAACCGGCCTTTCAAGTACTTTAAAACAAAATAAAATGGGCTGATGTTATAAGATAACTACAACCCAATTCACAAAAGATAAAAATTCTGATGCTCCATAAACAAGTAGATATATAAGCAAACACCTTGTTACTTTTGATCTCTCCAAATTGCAATGCCATAAATGGTTTCTAAAACATATCAGTAAGCTTAAAATAAAAATAATTTCAAGAAACTAGTTTAAGATACGCTCTGAAAATGCATGAACATTTAAACAATCAAAAGTATAGAGGAAAACAAGGAAATGAAGCTTACAAAGTTGTAGGGAAGAACAATTGAAGTGAGAATTCCACACCCTATAAAATTTTTATCCAGCTTCAGCTTCATTAGAGGCACAACTCCTCCAATTTCCTTGAGAGCATTCAGCCGATTTCTACTCAAATCAAGAATGCTCGAAGCTTTCAGATCTCCAATAGTTTAAGGAATTGTACCAACAAAAGAATTCCTGGACAGGTTAAGAAACTGTAGCTTGCCTATATTTCCAATCGTCTGAAAATTACCCGTGACTGAAATTTGACTTAAATTGGCCAAAAGGCTATAGCATTTCGCCACAGACTCTGGAAGGCTATCAGTAAAGCCATTTGAAGAGAGATTCAATAGTTTAAGATATTGAAGATTCCCCATTGTAGTTGGAATGTGACCAACAAAATTGTTCCCAGAGAAGTCAAGAGTTTTGAGGCTATTCATTTCTCCTATCCACTCTAGACCATGTCCTTTGAACAAATTCAGTTTAAGATTAGATTACCACACAAATTAAGTTTCTGCATAGTCTCAGGTTGACTCCTAGAAAAAAAAAATTCTCACTAAGATCAATAGACCTCAGGAGTAAACAATTCTCAATACCACCAGGAATCTATCCATAAAATAAAACATGTAATTATAGCATAACAGGTAAAGTTTTCCCAATACCACCATAATTTGTTAGTGAGGCAAGAGTCTTCCAAACAAACAAACTGTGGCCTTACATGTAAATTTACTTTCTTCTTTCTTATTAAAAAATTTTCTTGTAAAGCTTTTCTTCTCCCCTGTATTTGAATTCTAGGGTGCTGTGTGTCAAACCTCATTTTTTTCTTTGTAATTTCAAACACAATTACCCTAAAAATTGCAGATTAGCTTTTCTTATATCCCTCAATTCTTTAACTGACATATTCCAGTCTTCGGGACCCCGAACAACCAAAATAAAACTACAAAAAAGGTTCAAATGAGTCCACATGCCTCGATTAAAACTCCTGGAAAAAATAAAACTAATTTAGTTTGAGATATTTGTAAGAAAGAAAAAAAATTACAGAAGAGAAGATTAGAAAAGATACACCGAGGTAGATGCTATATTGCAGTGAAAGAGAGGGAGAACACAGGGATTAAAAGAGAGAAATTAGGAGAAATTGATAGGAAAAAAGGCGAGTGGGATATCGACCAAAGTAGGGGGGATAGGGAGACGATTTCGAAAATGCCTAGGGAGGGAGAACGGGGAACGAGAGGAGAAATTAGGTCTTCAACTGACAATGTTAGTTGTTGACAATGTTTTAAACTTGATGGCAGTTCCTACGTTTAGTTTTTTTCCTCGCAGATGTTGTCAATGGAAAGCTACATCTACTCACATTTCATTTTCTAAGCTTTTATCTTGTTTAAAATTAACCTAATTGAACTTTATCTTAAATCCTTGGTTTGTGAAAATTTATTCTTTCTTTTGATCAATTAATGGTGATATTTTGTTTTGGTCTTTTCATATTTGACGGTGATGATGTAGACTACCTCTTACTAATGGCTTATATATATGGTCGGACTTCAGAGATTCACCCATTCTCACGTTGATAGACGGAGTTTTGGCCACGGAATCCTTCCTAGAAAAATTCCAGAACGCCATTGTTAAAAGACTAGAAGCCCCACATCCGATTACTTCCCCATCCACATCTCATTTGGTTTGCACAAATGGGGTCCTACACTGTTTCGGTTTGAAAACATGATCACCCCTCTCTTCCTCACGTGGTCAGTTATTGGTGGATTAACACCCCTTTAAGAGGCTGGTCGAGACATGGTTTCATTCAAAAACTGAAGGGCCTCAAGTCACTGCTTAATGAATGGAACAAATCTACCTTTGGAAGCCTCAACCAACAAAAACAACAGCTCCATACAGAAATGTCTTTATTAGACGCCATGGAAGAATTCGGAGATTTACAGCCAGTTCAAAATTCCCAGAGGAAGTCTATAAAAATTCAGCTTCTTGAAACAGCAGCCAAGGAGGAACAGATGTTGCAAAGCTTTATGGCTATGTGAAGGGGATCTAAACACAACTTTTTTCCACCGCATTGTTGCAGCAAAGAAAAGGAGAAGCACCATAACAGAGGTTCTATCAGCCTCTTGAATGAAAGTGAGACTGAAGGTGAATTCCTGTCTTTTTTTGACAGATTGTACACTAATAAGCCTGCAATAGATTTCTCCCGCACCCTATTGACTGGAGCCCGATTACCTCCCAGCAAAGTGTCGAGCTAGAAAAACCTTTCATGGAGGAGGAAGCGTGGAAACTGGAAAGCAGTCAATGATTTGGGATCTCACAAGACTCTAGGACCTGGTGGCTTCACTGCGGAATTCTATGAAAAAAAATTTGGAATACAATCAAGTTCGGTATTATAAAGGTGTTCCAGGATTTTTTCAAGAATGACATTATTAATGCTAGTTTGAGGGAAATATACATTTGCCTCTAGGAAAGTTGGTGACTATCGTCAATTAGCCTCATTTCATGTATGTACAAAATTATTGCCAGAATTCTGTCAGAAAGACTCAAATCTCTGCTGCCTTCCACGATCACTGAACAACAATCAGCCTTTGTTGCTAATTGGCAGATTCTTGATGCATCATTTATCGCAAATGAAATCATAGATGAATGGAAACGAAAGAAAAGAAAAGAAAAGGTGTGGTTATCAAGCTCGACAATGAAAAGGCTTTCGACAAATCAAACATGGCAACACTGGATCCGGGGCTGTCTATGCTCCGCAAATTCCTCAGTGATCATTAATGGCCGGCCTAGAGGTAAAATCATTGCATTTAGAGACCTTCGCAAGGCGACCCTCTTTCATCCGGTCATCCTTTCTCTTCATTTTGGTGGCAGATGTTCTCTGTCGATTACTCTCTCACTCTCACGCAGCCAACAGCAATGCTATTAGCAGCTTTATTTGGGAAATAATACATTAAACATTCACCATTTTCATTTTTCTCTCTTTTTTCTTTATATGACAAACAGCTCCTCACCAACTTGTTTAACATCATTCATCTCTTTGGGGGATGCCTTGGGATTGAACATCAACCACCACAAATCAGAGCTTTTGGGAGTCAATCTTGACAAACAGGAGCTGGATCACCTGCTGTTGGCTTTTTGATCCTTAATCTCAAATTAATTAATTAATTATTGTTTTGATGATAACAAACTTAATTTTATTTATTGACATTTTTTGTATTTTAAAGTGTCCACAGCGTAGAGCTCGTTACAACGATTCCAACGACTGTTAGATCATCCAAATCGGAGATCAAACGAAGAAGTTATGATCGAAACAAATTGAAAGGAAAAATATCCGAGAAAATGACGTGGACAGTTCGTAAGCTGACGAGTGACTTGCTTCTTTTTAAAAAATATATATATATTGAAAAAGAAAAGAAAATATTAAAAAAAATTCAAAAGTTACAACGGTAACTTTGAAAAAAAAAAATTTAATTTTTTTTACATCTTCAATGGTTTTAAAAAAAAATTCAAAATTCTTACCGTTTTCTCACATATATGTATATATATATACATATTATTTTATTATTATTATATATATATAATTCAAAACTATTTTGATATGTATATATATATTTATTATTATTATTATTATATATATATATATATATATATATATATAACTCTTAATTTTTTTTTAAAATCATCCCCACCCTTCATTTTCAATAATTAAGATCTAACGGATTAAAATTAAACTTGATTTTTTTTTACCATTTTCTCCCTTGTATTTAAACTCAACTCCTTAAAAAATACAATTCTCTTATTCCCAATCCTCCAAAACTTCAATTTCATTTACTATTCTCTCCAAGTTCTCCATTTTTATTTTCATCTTATTTGTGAGAGAAATTTATTGTTGTGAGGATTGAATTTTTGTGAGCTCAAATTTGTACATTCAATCTATTTGAGAGTTTATAAGTGTGTTTCAAAATTTCCAACTCATTGTAACGGTGTGATCCTCACCGTGGAGAGAATTGTCTTTGCTCCTGAGAAGGGCAGTGTACCGGTTTGACTCATACCGTGGAAAGAGTCTGAATTTCAATTTTACAACCCAAGAGGTGCTTGGGAAGTGGAGTAGAACGATTGTGCCGAACCACTATAAAAATTATCCGTGTCAAATTTCTCTAACCCTATCTCTTGTTTGCAATTATTTATTGCTTGCTTTAAATTTCTCTTATTTGCCTTAGAATTTATTTTCATCTTACTTTGTCAAAATTACATATTTCAAAAAGTGTATTATTTTTGTTTAAATTGAGCCCATTTGTTGAACAGTTTATATTTTGTTAATTAAACTCTATTCATCCCCCTTTAGGATTGTCATACCGATCCAACACCTGCAACTAGGAACCATCATCATGTAGAAAATCGTCGAGTGTCGGTGTCAGACACATGCCCGACATGCTCGTGTCCGATAGCATGTCCTAAGTTTTATTATTATTATTTTTTTCTTTTGGACATGTCGTGCCGGTGACGCCTTAGGACACGAGAGGGACACGATATTTAGAAAAATGACATTCAGGTAAATAAAAAAAATCCACTAATAAAAGATGACTCCAAGTCTTGTTGAGGTTGGCGTTTCATGCCTCAAAGGTGTCCATGGCAGAATTACGAAAATTCAAATTTTGTAACATGAATAAGCGGGTTTATAGAAGAAAGACGCTATAAGATTCCAAAAAAAGCTATACTCGCTGAAAAAGTTGCATTATTAACAAATTCATACCAATTTTGAGAATCTTTTGAACTTTCATGTAAAAAGTTTTTAGGGTAAGGAATAAGTAAAATGGAAGAAGAAGATGAGTCGAAAGAGAATCAATAAGAAAGAAGATAAACTAGAGAAAATAAGCAGAACGAGAAAGAAGAAAGGATAAGAGTGAAAGAAAATTTAATGCTACCAGTATGTGGGAGATGTTCGAGTTTCTTCAAATCAGGCACATCTCTATCTACCTCTAAAGGGCTCTGGAAATCAATTTTGGTCCACAGCCAACTGGAATGCAAGATTGGTGATGGGAGAAACACCTCCTTTTGGCTTGGATGTTTCCTCTACTTTTCCATCAAACAAAATAGAGGAACCTTTGCTTCTGATACTCATACCACTATCTAGAAGCTAGAAACAGGGGTACATCTCACTAATACTCGTTGATTTTCTCTCTCTCTATTGTGATAGGTTTCTCCATATGAGATGGATAGTTTTGGAGAGATACAATCTTTTCTGAGTTGATGGGATATACAGACATTATTGTTCAATTTCCATTACTTACTGAGAATGCAGCAGAGTCTTTACGTTGTAGAGCTGAGGTTAATATTAAACTATGTCATGATTGATTTGAAATAGGCTCCAAATAAATCTCGCAGAGATGGGGAAAAGAGAAGGATAAAATAATGATAAAACAACAGCCGCAAGAAGAAAAAATCCATCTGATTTAATGTTCTTTGGCTGGTCACTTCAAACTGGCCAATAGTCAGAGGATCACACAATTTTGTATTGAAATAGTAACGATTTTTCATTAAGCAATTCTATCATAGTGATTTTGATTAAAAAAAAAAGAAGTATAATTGACATTAATTACTGTATTAAATACATCTAATCCAACCCAGATTTCAATTTAGCCCTCCAATCCAACTGTAGCCTGGCTGTTTTGTTACACCAGTTTTTTTCATCAATTCCCTCACATTGGCAGATTCTTGCCAACGCCCAACAGTGGCATATATATTTGACAGAACCACATACACAGATGGATTGCTGCCCTCCTCCTCTAAAAGGATTCCGGCGATAGTTCTTCCTAGCTTCAAGTTTCCTTGAGCTGCACAAGCACTAAACAATGCCCACCAAACATGGGTATGCGCTTCGAATTGTGCGCTTTCTATTACACTTTCAGCCTGATCAACATACCCAGATCGACCTAGAAGGTCAGCGATGCAAGATAACTGATCCACACTCGGAACAATGCTATAATCTGTTAACATTGTGTTGAAAATCCGACTGGCTTCGTCAACCAGCCCCGCATGGCTGCAAGCAGAAAGAAGAGCGGTGAATGTGGCTTGATCCGGCTTGATTGGGGACATGTCTTGCATAGCCTTGAAACAACGCACGGCTTCCTTCCCCTGCCCATGTTGCGCATAAGCAGATACTACAGAATTCCACGACACCACGTCCCTTTTGATCATGGCGTTGAAAACTCTCAAGGACCAATCCAACACCCCACATTTAGAATACATTGTGATAAGCGCATTACATACAGATGTTTCTGAGAACTTTCTCGATCTGAGAATGTAACCATGAATCTGTTTGCCCATGTTAAAGGCTGAGATGCTTGCACATATGCTCAGGACGATGCTTAGTGTAAATGCGTTTGGCTCGAGTTTCGACGTCATAAGCATTGAAAAATGCTCCAACCCTTGCAACGGATGCCCATTTAGGAGAAAACTAGAAATGATGGTGTTCCAAGAGATCAAATTTTTTGGACTGATTCCATTGAAAATTTGATAAGCCTGTGTTATCTTCCCACACTTCGAGTATGCAGAAACTAATGCGTTTAGAACTTCAATCATGAGGATCAACCCACTTTTAAAGACGAAGGCGTTAACCATCTCGACTATCTCAATGAACTCTGAAACTCCTAATAAACTTCCAAAAGTAAACTCATCTGGCCGAATCCCAGTCCTCTGCATTTGCAGGAAAGAAAGAACTGCTGATTTGCTAAAATTCCCCCGAACATAGCTTGAGATCATGGCGTTCCATGATACGATATCCTTCTTCTCCAGTGCCTCGAAAACTGCATTGGCTGCCTGGAACTCCCCACAAGAAGAATACATGGCTATGGCCGAATTTCCGACCGAAGTAAAAGATTCAAAACCCAACTTAATTGCTTGGGAGTGCACCTGTTGGGCAACTCGTATAAATGAACATGAGCTCATAACGCTCACCAGTGTGAGCTCGGTAGGATCGAGACATGCCCGTAGCATATCCCTGAACATAATCAAGGCCTCTTCTTCCCTTCCGACGCCGACCAAGCCATCTATCATCACATTATAAGTAATTTGATCATGGACCTCAGCTTCAGTTCCCTCAAAAACCTCATAAGCATCCCCGAGATTCTCGGTGCTGAAATACATAGTAATCAAAGCGTTAATCACAGAAGCTCTGCTAATGAACCCGGATTTAATCACCAGAGAATGAACCAGTCTTCCCAAATCTTCAATCTCCTTAGTACACAAACTCAAGATGCAAGCGAAGGAGTAATTATCAGGCTTAACACACATTCTGTACATTTCGCGAAACATGTTAATGGCAACCCCATGGTGTCCACTCTCTGCACAACCAGTTATTACAGCATTCCAACAGGCAACATTACTCTTCGGCATTACATCAAACACCTCATGTGCATATCCAACATGTCCCAATTTCGTACAAGCTGACAAAAGGGTAGTCCAGGAGTAGACATCTGGGATCTCGATCTCTTGAAAACCCGTCTTCAGAGATTCAAAATCCCCCACTTTTGCATAGAGTGAAAGGATGGTATTGGCGACATGAGGGAAGGATTTGAGCCCTGAGCGGACAGCGTGAGCATGGAGTTGAGAGCCGAAGGCAATGTCGCGAACGTTGGCACAGACGGCGAGGGCGGTGGAGAGATTGTAGTGGTCAGGCCTGAAGCAGAGCGATGAATGGATTTGAGTGAAGAGTTGCAGAGCGTCGAAGTAGAGATTAGAGGATTTGAGGTGTGAGAGCAAGCGGTTGTATTTAAGGAGCCTTTCGGAAGCACTAACTCCAACATGCATTACCTAATGACACATATAAACACCACGTCTTAATTGGTTATCTTTGCTGCAGGATAGCCACACAATTATCCAACTAGATTTTAAACTATATGCATGACACAAATATAAACACTAAGTTTTAATTGGCTATCTTTGCTGCAGGATAGCCACACAATTATCCAATTGAAATAAGTGCAAAGGGAATATTGAATTCATTTTCATGAAGTTCATGTGCAAAACAGCTATACGCTCAGCTACGTACTCAAACCTATTAGTCCAGACTTCAGAATGTATTAGAGTTGAAAGAAAACAATCTAATCAAAAAATTATATTTAACAGTGAACACACAAAGTATTAACTATTTTCTAAAATTGATGTACTTATAAGTCGAAACATAAGCAAATTTTTATATGCACTTCACTAGAGGAACAAAACAACAGTCTCATTAAGCATTAAAGATGGATGAGAAGTAGGCTTAGCTAATAGCGCTAAAATAAGCGAGCACCAAAACTTGAAAAATGAATCTATATAATTATAAATATCAAAGCACAAGTACATCATGACATTAACTCATTACTTGTTACTTCCTTAGAAAGAAACATCCGAAATAAATAGATATTTGGTTGACAATACTAAAATAAATTTACAAACCGGAACAAATGGAGAAACGACATTGTACCTTTCCACTTGATTGTCCATCGGCAGAATAATCATACCTACATAAAATACAGAATAAAGGATCATGAGCCAATTCTGCAGTTGGGTGCAATGTGTACAATATTTCAAGAAATTCACGGTATTAGGAAAGTAGTAGAGCAACTTTCGAGCAACTTTCCTTGCTTTCAGCAGTTACAAATGGTAAAGGGGTATTTTTTTTATTAAGAAAACTGAGCTTTTATTGAGATGAATGAAAAAAAATAGCAAAAAAAAACAGCTCAACAAAGGGGAACCAAACTAAAAGAATGAGCTTCAATCAACAGCAAAATCAAACCTAAAGGGTATATAAAATAAGTTCAACTATTTTGAATACTTTTTCGATCTTGTACAGTTTATGGCCTTGAACTGGAGTGCTCAAACAAGATTTTTTGTAATTACTCGACATGTACTATTGGATTAGATTTGGAAGGCTTTTATGTAATCCTCCTTCAAAACAAAAACACCTTGTCCCGAGGTCCACTAGGTTGTATTTCACCTTTTTTTGGGCTCTTTGAATTAAAGTCTCCCTTGTTTCTTATTGAAAAAAAAAGATAGGAAAAACTACTCTTAAAACATAGTTCGAGCACATTCTTAATGATGTCATCATGTGATCAGAATAGTGATTCCCAATGTAAACATGATCGAGAGACGTATAAATCCTTGTTTAACGACTACTTCTGAAGTATGTATTTCAGCCATAACTGTTAGAGCGCTAAATGCCTAATTGCATTGAGAAAAATTCACTATTCTCCCATCCGGCCATTCCTATTCTCCCACTTTCATGGAGAAAAACGACGCTAAGACAATCGATTTCTCATTTCATTTCTATATGATACTGTCCAAAATTAGAAGTACTTCAATAAATGACATGAGAGATACTGGGGGAATGGACAATAATGGAAAAAAAATCACTAGCAAGATTATAAGAAGGAATTAGTTAGAAGACCTTGATGGCTAAAATTCGCACGAAGTTATATTCAAAGTTCAAGATAACAAATTTCAAGGAACGGGTCAAGTGGTCAAGACTCAAGAACCAAAAATTTTTATATTGAGATTTTACAACTTGACCAGTGATATGAGAAATAATGGCTACTATCGATTCATTTAAAACAACCAAAGAAATTAATTTTCCTTTCATGAGCAAGTGAAACTTACAAAGATTGTACGAACACCTGTCAGTATATGCTTACTCTAAGGGCTTTCATTGAGTTGGTCAAGTTACTACGAATTTATAAGCAAGATTATTAGCATGATCAACCACTCTTTGTATGTCATATCCAGCAACTGAGACGTATGGATAAGTTAAAACAAAGAATGGAAATAAGTTAGAAGATTAATAGTAGTTGCTAATAACTGCAATCAAATTAACTCGATCGAGTACAAAGCACATAAAAACAATGATAAGAACAATTATGGCCAAAGTCAATGATAATAAAATATTTGACACTCTTGTAGAACTCAAAAAACAAACAGAAGAGATTGGAAACTAATAGAAGATTTGGTGCCAAAAGTTGCATATTTTTACACCATTGAGAATTCATTTTCCCATCAGTGATCAAAATAGCAAGAAGTAAAATTGATGGAGAAAATTAAAACATGTTTGGTAAATAACATTCAAATTCAGCAAAACAATAACAAATAAAAGAATGGAAATTGAGGAAAAAAGAAGAAAGGAAAAAAACAAATCATTCTAAGCTTCACCTACAGATTTGCTTAACCTGAAGTTACATCCACCTCATACAAATTTGAATCTCTTTTGCTAAACACGTCTTCTTAAGTTTCAGTACAATAGATCTCATTTCAATAAACTCGTTTTACCAACAAAACAACATGTATTCAAAGCAAGCATCAATTTTCCATTTTATTTATAAGAAACTGATATATTATAAACAAAAGGGCCAGAAACAGCCTAGGGCTGGGTAAAGAGAACCCCTCCCAAAAAACATCAAATGATGACTTTCCAGTTGTTCATGACCATAGATAAGCATTAATTTTCATTCCATGGCTCACAATATCTAAACTCATAGATTTCCTACCGACTACATTTCAATTGTCATTTACTTTCTATTCTGGACTTTAGCAAATTTCTCAAATTGTATTGTATGATGAAACATGGGGACGTTGCCTGATGAACTCAGACTGGAATCATCCATCATCATCATAACTCTCTCTCACCACCATTGGATTTGTAGAAATCTAAAAGCATCATCTTCACTAGAGTAAACACCTAATTAAATCCAGATGAGGTAGAATAAGCACGAAGGTGGTAAGTTGAAGAGTTATAAAAACCATTTTAAATTCTACACACCAACAAAACTCGATGCTAATAAATCCATCCCAACTCGAGAATCGGCCACAATTATAATTATCAGTCCAACCAAACAAACAATCCTTTCCAACTTCCCACCCCCTCCACATACATCCCTCCTCTTTTCATTTTTTCCTTCTCAATAATTTTCTTCCCCAAGAACAAATGAATTTACTATAAAAGTTTCAACTTTTTTATTTTTTGTTTGTTTGTTTTTCTTGCAAGAATCGAGACCTACTTAACTAATCTCCCCCATCGCAAAACTGATTAGCAATAGAGTAGGTCAAGTCTATTATAAACCATAGTAATTAAGTTTCCTTTTCTTTTCAATGTGGGATACTTCACAACATAACCTTGGATCCTTGAAGGATAAAGGTATCAAGTCCAACAAAGAATCTTTGACCTTTCTTCTACTACTCCGAAGACAGAATCAGAGTCAATCAGACAAAGTAACTTAAGCAATAGAAATCAAGAGCTTCTTCAGCTACTATACAAACTTTTCTTCATGAATCATCCAAAACCTCAAGCACAACTTAATGGCACATCCAACAGCAAAACAAATTGTCAAACTTCACAATCTCATCAATTGATTGCATCATAAATGGAAAGAGAATTCACGAGTAAATTCTACAAACAGTTGGCGTGCAGTAAGAAGGAAGCCAGTTTTTTAACATATAATGAACACAAATACGCATTACACAACCATTTCCGACAAGTAATAAGCATATAAGTGTTGAAGAAAAGAAACATTTCCTTCATGTTGCCATTGAAAGAACTAGCTGCTTGGGTTGCCATGTCTTAATTTCCTGGTTTTTTTCACTGTTCGACATCACATGTACTAGAATGCGGAATAAAGATTACAGAAAGCAAACCTCTGAAATGGCGCGCCGTCGAGGGTAGAGGAGAATTGCCGCAATCGACCGTTCGCTGAGCCGCTGCCGAAGGTCTTCGTCGGTCGTTCGTGGAGGAGGGTGGCCGCCRATGTTGCTTGAAGAGCGCCGCACCACTGCAAGGGAGTCGCCGGATCTGCTCGAAAATCTCGTCGAAAAACGCTGAATCGTTGGCCGGAGGAGGAACACGTGAGAGAGGGAGGGGTGTGGCGGCTTGGGTGGTGGAAGCGCTAATTTGTCTCTCTCTTTTTTCCTTTTCTTTTCTTTTCTTTTCTTCTTATTAACCAAAAGAGAACAATAATATTATTGAACCAAAGATATGGTCAATGCCCTTAAATAAGAGAGATTTATTTCTTTTCCTAATCCTTGTATTAAAAGGAACCACTTTAAAAAGGTTTGGAAATCTTTATTTGATGGATTAACTTAATTTTTAAAACCCAATCATCTAAATCAAAAGAAAAATTAAATTTCAAAAACTTTGAATTAAGATAACAATAAAAGTATTTAACTTTCGAAGTAGAAAAAATATTATTATAATAATAAAAATATTTAACTTAAAAATTGAGAAAACTTGACTCAAAACTTATCAAATATTTCAAACAACTTAAATGATAATATATTATCAAATTAAATTTGAGGTCACACAACTCATTTGAAAATACATTACTAGATTAAATCTAGTAAACTATATTGTAATTAAAAAAATTATTACTTTTGTGGAATCCAGGACTTATTTGAAAGATAAATTACTAAATAAGTTTTGTTATATTATACTTAAAATAATAATAATAATAATTTTTTTTAGATTTTTAAAAGATGCCTTTAGGAAAAGTTTAAAAACAAAAATAATTAAAAACAAGACATAACAATTCATCATTCAAATTTTGTATCAAATTTTTCCTAATTCTTTTTAAAATCTCTCGCACCTTCACAAAAAGTCTGGGGCGCAGGTGGATGAAAATTAGCAATTTTAGAAGAGTCTCCACGTTTATTAAAACGTTGGGATACTTCAACATATCCCAACAATTTTAAAATAATGTTGGAAAAGATTATCATATCTTCCAATTTTTTAAAAAACGTTGGGATAAGTTATCCTCCTCCCTTCGTTTTCTAACAAACTGTTGGTATTGGAGAATCTCTCCCACGCTTTCCAACTAACCTATCCCAACATTTTATAATAACTTTGGGAAAAGATGGGATTTATGAATTTAAAAGATTTCTCCCAACGTTTTCTTAAAAWGGGATAGATTATCTTTCTCCSATGTTTTTTTTTAAACGTTGGGATACATTGTATTATCCCAASGTATATACACAAACATTTGGAGAAATATTTAAAAACGTTTGATGGATGTGGCAGCCATTTTCAAAGTTTTATTTTTTTAAATATTACTATTTTCAAAACTACTTTTTAAAATATTCTAACTTTCAAATTTATTTTAAAATAATACCCCCAACATTTTTATAAAACTTTGAGATACATTATGTTATCCCAAGTTTTTATAAAAAGGTTGGGATAAGGTTACTTCTCTCAACATTTTTATAAAACATTGGGATATATTATGTTATCCCGGCGTTTTTACAAAAACTTTGTGATAAATCTTTTAAAACGGTGATGAATGTGGTAGCCATTTTCAATGTTTTATTTTTTTTAAATATTACTATTTTCAAATCTAATTTTTAAAATATTATAACTTTCAAATTTATTTTAAAATAATACCCGACATTTTTATAAAACGTTTGGGATAAGGTTATATCTCTCAACGTTTTTAACAAAACGTGGGTATACTTGAACATATCCCAACAATTTTAAAATAATGTTGGAAAAAATTATCATATCTCCCAACTTTTTAAAAAAGATAAGTTATCAGCTTCCCACATTTTTTAAATTCATGTTGGGAAATATAGAATATTGGAGATTTTAATCGTTTTAAAAGATTATCTAAAAAAAGTTTTAAAAGATTATCTCAACGTTTTTTAAAACGTTGGGACAAATTATCCTCTCCCCATGTTTTCTAACAAATGTTGGTATGTGAAAATCTCTCCCAACGTCTAATGAACGTCGGTATCCGAGAACCTTTCCCAACATTTTATAATAACTTTGGAAAAGATGAGATTTAGTAATTTAAAAGATTTCTCACAATGTTTTCTAAAAAGGTTGGGATAAGTTATCTACCCAACACTCTTAAACTAACATTTACAAAAGATTGCTTCGCCCCCACGCACAAACGTTGGATAAATTATCTTTTTCCAATGTTTTTTAAAATGTCGAGAAAAGTACAATTTGGGCAATATTAGTATGTTTTAATTTATTGTTGCAACGTTTTCTCTATGATGTCGGGAAAAATCAACTTTGCTCAACAGGTTTCAAAAAATGTCGAAATATTTATTTTATAATTTTGGTGTGTTGAATTTGTCCATCCATATTTCCAACGTTTTTTGTAAAACGTCACAAGAAATTGAATTTTTCCCAATGTTTTTGTAGAAAAAGTCGGCAAAATTTATAATTGTCCTTACGATTTTATTTTCGTCGGGAGAAAATGACCCACGTTTTTAATAAAACGTGGGGATGGGTGATCTTCTTCCAACGTTTTTGTAAAAACATCGGGAGAAGGGATCTTTGTCCCACGTTTTTATTCAAACGTCAGAATAATTAGTATGTAACTTTGGCGTGTGTTTGAATTTATCCACCAATATTTACAACATTTTTTGTTAAACGTCAAAAGAAATCGAATATTTGCCGACATTTGGTATAAAACATCAGCAAATATAAACTTTTTCCCAATGTTTTTGTGGAAATGTTGGCAAAACTTATAATTGTCCCCATGATTTTATTTTCGTCGGGAGAAAATGACCCACATTTTTAATAAAAGGATGAGTGATCTTCTTACAATGTTTTTGTAAAAACATCAGGAGAAGGGATCTTTGTCCCACCTTTTTATTCAAACGTCGTAATATTTATTATGTAACTTTTGCATGTTTGAATTTATCCACCAATATTTACAACATTTTTTGTTAAACGTCAGAAGAAATCGAATATTTGTCGACGCTTTTCGGCAAATATAGACTTTTTCCCAACGTTTTTGTGGAAACGTTGGTAAAACTTATAATTATCCCCACGATTTTATTTTCGTCGGGAGAAACTGACTTCTCCCGACAATATTTTTAATGTTGGGAATAATTTCATTGGAAAAACAATAAATTCTTGTAGTGGCTTGAGGATTTGACTTACTTTGAGTTGGGTCGTAGGATCAGAAGGGAAGCGAACGACTTTGCTGTGGCGGATGGCGAGGGAGAAATTAGGGTTCGCTATGGGGTAGACCTTTACTATCGACCTGTTAGAGAGGGGAGAATCAAATTGTTAAGATGATCCAAATTCAACAATTGGGTTGGTGCATAAGTAGGAAAGAAAGCATCAAATTCCAACTTTTATAGATAAGAGACAATAGAAAGCGAGAAAACAGACATTTCTCACCCATCTACCGTTAACAAGTGACAAGTATGATATTAAAAGACAGACATAGATGAATGAATCTCAACTGCTCTTGATACTAAATTATTGCACAACTAATCTCTCTTTTTTCCCTTCCTCTACTTTTCACTACAAATTTCTCTTCCTTCTGCAACTTTGAACTAAATAATGGTATGGATTTAGGGTAGTTGGGGATGAGATTCAATAGCTTAGACAAAATATATTTTTATATTCAAACCTAAATTANTAAATTACAAAAGAAAAAAAAACGAAACAAAACAAAAAAAAATATACTTAAGCACTAACATAAAAATAAACTATTATTAGTAGTTATAAAAATCAGAACTTTCAAATAAAAAGAATACAACAAATTATCTTAAAACAAAGAAAAAATAAAAAATCCTAAAGAAAAAGTTAAAAGAAACAAATCGCATTTATTTTTAAGAGAAAAAAAGAAAAAAAAAATCTAGAATAGTAGCTATCACATACGAGTAAAACCCAAAAATACAAGATCGTAGGGAAAAAAATTAACAAAATAGAACCCACCAATATCGTCTTTATTGTCAAATCGTCACAAAAAGTTTATTTTTTAGGATAACATGTAATCTAAAAAATTAGAATATGTAAAAAGTTGTTTAATTTACGAAGAGCTTAATTATTTCATTAATAATAACTGATAATAAAATTTCAAAAATTTTGTAAATTTTCATCTTCTACTCACACAGATGGGTATTTTATTCTAAATTAATGGTAAACAGTAAATTAATTAATAAATTATAAATAGTATATATCGACCCTGACATTTGCATGGTATTTAAAAAGTTATTTTTTTTAGGACAACATGAAATCTAAAAAGTTAGAATACATAAATGAAAAACTTTAAGAGTCAGGATATACATGTTAAGTTCAAGTCGGCACAAAATTTTATCTATACTATATTAAAAAGGGAGAATGTAGGAAAAATATTCTTGGGCACTTTTGTCCCAAACTAAATTTACTAATTTACAAATTATGTCATTAAACATTATTATAAATATTAAATTAATTATTAATTATTAATATTAATAAATTTATAGAATTTAAAAGGTTCGAGTTTTCCTACCACATAAAATTAATTTTTCTTTAATTGTAATTCATACTAGAATTCGAAGAGTTTAAGAATTTCAAAAGCTTTTTATTAATTATTAATTGTTAATACTAATAAATTTATAGAATTTAAAGGATTCGAATGCAAAAAGTTTTCTTATAACATAAAATTAATTTTTTCCTTTAATTATTACTACTAGAATGCAAAAAGTTTTCCTACAACATAAAATTAATTTTTTCTTTAATTGTAATTCATACTCCAATTTGAAGAGTTTAATAATTACAAAAGCTTTTGTAACTTTTTATTCTCTACTAATATAAAAATAGGTTTCTTCCACCATTTTTTCCACAACACTTTTCACTATTTCTTTATTTTTAGTTTTCTCAAAACATCTTTCAAATATTATTGAATCTCGAAAACATCTCAATATGTTGGTGGCATATATTTCATGAAGTTTGATGTACCAAAAAGATGAGTGTATAGTTGGGATTTGATTTTTTTTTGTTACTATTTTATTCTCTTATTATGAAAAAGAGTTCTTCCACATTGTTCTACTCACAATATGAGCCTTGTTTTATTTTGTCTATTTTTATTCTCTCTCATTTCCTTCATTTTTCGGTATCCATAAACTCAAAAGCAATTTACGATGGTGTGTACAAGGGAATATGATACATGAGTCAATATATATTATGAATTATAGATTTTAGATGTTACAATTTGATTTTGA